CTCCCCCACCCCCCACCAAAGTCTCAAGGATCGGGTTCAGAGCTGCGCCCTGGATCTCATCCTATCAGGACTTTGCTCTGCCAGTTATCCCCTCCCTATAATTTCAATCTGTCTCTTGCTTTTATTCTCCCCCCGCCCCAACAAAACCAAAATCCTTTATTTTTCATTAATAACAGATCTCTGGCAAAACTAACTGGTGGAGAAATGGGAGAAAATGCACAAATAATACTAGGAACAAAAATTGTGAACATAACTACAATGGACATTTTTAAAAGCACAGAACTATGAACTATTTTACACAAATACATTTTAATAAATAATTTTCTAGGAAAATCTGCCCGTTTGTGTTTGAGATTGTTCAGGTCTCCGTGCTCTTGAAACTAAATTAAACAGCACTCTCTGGCTCCTCGCACATAAACCTTCTAGAACTGTAGTCCACTTCCTCGCTTCTCATGCCCACCTCAGTCCTCTCCTATCAGACTCCCTCCCCGAGTGCGCGACTGAAATCCTCACGGTAAACTTACTGCGTTTGACTGCCAGGGCTATCACCGGGACAAAGTACCACAGGCTGGTTGGCTTAAACAATGGAAATGTATTGTCTCAAGAGTTCTGGAGGCTGGAAGTCCAAGACCAAGGTGTCAGCGGGGCTGGCAGGGAAGGTTATGTTCCAGCCTAGCTCCTTGGCTTGTAGATGGCTGTCTTCTCCCTCTGTCTCTTCACACTATCTTCCCTCTGTGCATTGTCTGTCTCTGTGTCCACATTTCCCTTTATAATATAAAGGACACCAGTCATTGGATTTCGGCCCACACTAATGACCTCATTTTAACTTTAAAGACTCTGTCAAAATAAGGTCAGATTCTGAGATGCTGAGAGAACACCAGCTTTTTTTGTGTATGTGTAGAGGGAACATGATTGAACCCTAACACCTCCCAGTGATCAGACCGGAGGCTTTCCTGTCTTTTCTGGTTTGTCTGCCTGCTGGGTTTGGTACTGCTGGCTCCTCACTCCTGGAAACGTGTCCTTCTTGGACTGATGTTTTACCTGTCTCTAGTTTCCTCACACCTTGTATTAATTTCTTCACTTTTGTGGGCTTGTTTTCTTCTATCTGCTCCTTAATTATTAGTGTTTCCCTGACTTCCATTTTTAGCTCATGATTTTGCTAGATTTCATCCACTGTGGAGCTTTCAGCCACTGCTTCCATTTCAGATGACTCTTGGACATCCATCTCGTGTCCTGGCTTTTTCCCTGAGTTTCAGGCTGCCGGCCTCGGTCACCTGGCTTTCATCTACTTCGAAATTCAGCTCGTCCCCCTTCCTATCTAATCCTCTCCTCTTTCCGTTTTCCTTACCTCAGTGTAACTGGCACTACCCGGGCACCCAGACCAGAAACCCAGGGCTGACTGTGCTGGGCTCCCCCAACCCTTCCGTTTATCGTATCTCACATGCAGAGTCATTCAGGTCTTTACATTTACATTTTCTCCATGATTATTTCTAGAATCTACCATCTCCCCTCCATCCCTCCTACCACTGTCTAATTTAACCCCTCATCTCTCACCTAGGCCATTACTGTGGCCTCCTGCTTGCCTGCCCTGTGTCTGGCCCTTCCTCTCTCAGATGTTGTCCCTCACTGCAGCTAGAGGGACTTAGATCAAATGTAGGCCTTTGTGTCACTTTACTGCTAAAAGTCATCCCCTGCCCCCCATACATGCCCCTTGCAGAAGATCCAGGATTCCTAGAGGGGCGTTGCCTCATTCCTCAGCCCTGCCTCCTTCTGTTCCCAGCCTTGTTGTTTCTCCTCTCCGACACCGAACGACTAATGGTACTCCAAGCACACCATGCTGCTTCATTTCTCTTACGTGGTTTCCAATTTCTCAGATCCTTTTGGTTCCCTTTAACCTGGAAGTCCCTCCTCACCCTTTAAGACTGTTCAAGGCTTGCATCTCCCTGGGAGGGCCCCCTCTGACCCAGTTGGGTTACCCCCTTTTCCCATGGCACCCCAAGGACACCCACCTGTAGCCTAGCGTTGAACATGTTTACAGGTGCCAGTCCATTAAACTGGAAGGTCTCCTAAGGCAGAAACTCTTCTTTCTGTTTTCTCACCCAGCATAGTACTGAGACCATACTGGGTAACAGTAGATGTTTGTTGTTGGTTTTGCATAAATTTCACTACAGTCTTCACTAAGGCAATAACCTGTTTACAAGCTGGCATGTTGGTGGCTGACCGCAAACCAGAAGTTTAACTGGTGTCAGTATTTACTTTGCTATAGCTCCGAAGTACCATCTTTAACCGAATGGCTGATGATTGTGATCACGGATTCACTTTAATTTTGTGTGTCCACTTGAGTCTCACTCTATAGAGCACCTGTTTGTAAGGACATGTGGTACCACAGGCTGCATTTATCCTGTCATGCTAAGCAGCACACAGGTTGCATGGCTGTATAGGAGCTTGAACTGCCACACGCACAAGTTTGGAGTGTGAAATACAAGACCCAGAGGGAAGTAAACTATTCCAAGGAACTCAACTTTGTGAAAGAGCTTCCTTTTGTTTGTTTGTTTTTGTTGTTGTTTGTTTTAATTTTTTTTATTGATTTGAGAGAGAAAGAGAAACATCGATTTGTTGTTCCACTTATTTATACATTCATTGGTTGATTCTTGTATATGCCCTGACCAGGGATGAAACCCATAATTTTGGTGTATCGGGATGACACTTGAACCAACTGAGCTACCTGGCCAGAACTCCCTTTTGTTTTTTTAAGTTAGTTTTCTTCTTCCATTAACACCTGAATTGAAAGAAAATAAGGTAGAAAGGAATGTTTTTAGCCTCCAACCAAGTAAAAACAAGGGAGAAATTTCATATGTGGGCATCTATAAACCCTGTCCTATGGGGCCTCTACATTAACCCCTGTGCACAGCTGACCCCTCGTGTTTTCCTCACTTCTGTGTCATCCTTTGCACAGTCAGGGCCCAGAGTATTAGTTCTTATGAAGGGCTGCTTATCCACCAACCTATGACCTCTTTGCTTTCTCAGCTTGCTTGTGCGTGCAACAAAGAAAGTTTGAAAAGAAACATCCCAGCCCACATTTGTTTTTGATGTTGTTATCAGTCTAAGATAAGATCTACCAGTTCCCCAAGTGAAACAGATTTCACACTGTCCTGGGTGGAGGTTGGACAGTTTCCTTTTTTCTCCGAAGGACTACATGGTTTTATCATTTAACTGTTTTCTTTGAAGTGGGTTTGAAGATTATTGGTCACACCCATTCAAGGAAAAAACCTGGATTTCCAAACCACATGTAAATGATAGTAGGATTCTCTGTATCTTGCAACTAATAGACAATAGTTTCTTCCAAGTTGTGCCAAGTGTCCAGTGAGACACAAGAAAACAGACAATTCCTTTTACATCAAGATCATCACTTGGGGGGGAGGCAAC